ATGCATGAAATTTTCTTAAAGGGCCGGGGGGGGGGGGGCGGGAGCCCCTCTCCGATCCCCGCCCATGCAGCCCCATCTAGCTGCATGATAGGCCTATAGCTACATGGAGCCGAAGTACAAAGTGTTAATTGCGATTGATCCAAACCAATCGCAACTGTCCTCCAATCAATCGCAAGTTTGCACCGCGAGCATATAGGCGCCGGAAGTGGGGGGGGGGGGGGGGGGGAGTTCCCCCCCCCCCTCAAAAAAATAAGGTAAATAAGGAGTAAAGGAGTGAAGATGGTTTGTATTTTTAACCCAAAAGAACATAACAATAATAAAAACCTAAATTAAATGACGTATAAAATTCCATTCAAAGAAGTTAACAGGAATTAAATTTCCTAAAAATTGCGCATGCTACCTAATTTTATCAATGGAGATTTTTATAAAAAGCGATACGCCCACATCGTTGACATATTGTGAGAGAATAGGAAAGCGGGTCTGTTTTTTGTTATAGGGATGCAGCTCATATGAGCCCCTGAACGCGCTGGCGTACTGATGGGGGGGGGGGGGGGGGGGAGGGTGGTTATTTTTTATTGGATACCAGTGATTTACAAATGTTGCTGAAATGACATGATTTTCCGGTATTCTCAATTTTTTTGTAAGTCATCATGATTTTGTTGAAAAATTAGAAATTCCAAAATTTACAGTCGGGCGAAAAATATGCTTGTATGTCAGGGTCTGTGGAACGGCCGGGCTCGGGGGCTCGAGCCCCCCTCACTTTTTGAAAAAGTTTGTTACAGAAAACAAAAGAAAGAGAGAGAGAAAAAATATGTGACCTGCTAATGTCACAAATGAGGTATCAAAATATGCTCATCTGACAGTAATTAAATGCCTAAAACCCCAGAGCTTGCGGGGGCTATGCGCCCGGACCCCACCAAGGGCCCTAAGGCGGTCCCCTGTATGCTCATCTGATCGTTATTAAATACCTCAAACCCCCGAGCTTCCGGGGGCTCTGCCCCCTAGACCCCACCAAGGGCCCTAAGTTGGGGCCCTGGATCAGGCGCGTAGCCAGGGGGGGCGGTGGGGGCAGTCGCCCCCCCCCCCCAAAAAAAAAGAGAGAAAAAAAGAAGAAAGGAAGAGGACGTAGGAAGAAAAAGGATTAAGAGTCGAGAACGGTACAACGAATCGTCTTCGTTCTCTAATAATTTAATGAAACGTCTAAGTTTCTGCGCTTCGCGCGGGAGGGGAGGGGGGGAACTGAATTCAGATAAGGATTAAGAGTCGAGAACGGTACAACAAATCGTCTTCTTTCTCTAATAATTTATGAAACGTCAAAGCTTCCGCGGGAGGGGAGGGGGGGGGGGACTGAATTCAGACAAGGATTAAGAGTCGATCGAGAATGGTACAACGAATCTTCTTCTTTCTTTAATAATCTAATAAAACTTCAGAGCTTCCGCGCTATGCGCGGAGGCAGGGGAACTTGATTCAAACAAAGATTAAGAGTCGAGGACCGTGAAGGTACAGCGAATCGTCTTCTTTCTAATGAAACGTCAACAGAAACTGAATTTAGATAAGGATTAAGAGTCGAGAATGGTCCAACGAATCGTCTTCATTCTCTTATAATTTGATGAAACCTCAAAGCTTTAAACGTCTTTGGGGGAAGCTCTGTAAGTGTTTCGGCACGCTTCGCGTGCTCACTACCGCCCCCCCCCCTAAAATGAAATCCTGGCTACGCGCTTGGCCTGGATGCTCATCTGACCGTAATTAAATGCCCAAAACCCCGAGCTTCCAGGGGCTCTGCTCGACCCTGGACTCTCCGCCAATTAGTGGCCTGCCAGTGTCACAAATAATTAGGTATCTAAATATGCTTTTCTGACCATAATTTCAATGCCTAAAACCCCTGAGGTTCTGGGGGCTCAGCCCCTGGACCCCACGCCAATTTACGCTCTACCTGATCGTTAATAATCTACTTTGAAAATCGCGGGGCCTGCATGTAACGTGTGAGAGTGGTGGTGATTCAGATTTTTCTTCAGCCCCCCCCCCCACCCCTTCCAAACGTACGTTTTTGCTTGTTACGTCACTGCCCCTGGAAGGTGAGCCCCCTGGAATGTATGCTCCCCCCCCCCCCCTCCCCCAATCTAAAACTGCTTCCGGCGCGCCTGGCACCGAGTCTCTATATATCGACAGATTTGCAATGTATATCAATGTTGTAATATGGAATGTTGAGGTAATTATGCCATAATGTATTATAGTGTATTGGTGCATTAGTGTATAAGGAATTGTAGGTGGAGCAGTCTACAATGTAAGCTACCCCCCCTTCCTCATCAGACAATAGCCTTACTTTCCCGCCTTTTTGGGGGTACCTGTATTGCCCAATGTACTGATACCCTATAGGCATGATTGGGGATCCTATTGTAAGTTTTAGTGGATGAGTGATTTTCTTTTGTTCGGGGTCTGTGCACCCAGAGCTGCTATAGCAGGGACAGAGAGACATTGTAGATTTGAGAGAGAGGAGAGAAGCACTAATTTGTGCCTGCTAATGGAGATTGTTATTTACAAGGACTGCTTGAAATTTAAAGGAGTGGACAATGCACAAATACGAGAGGTTGTCACGGGTGCCTTGGAGGTAGTGTTGCCAGCCAGGACCATACAACATGTAGAATGTGCGATGAAGTCCTCTCAAGGTGGTGAAGCTGCCAATGAGTCAAGTGTCTGGTTCATCCAGGATCTGACTAAGCTGGAGAGTTCTCAAGTTCATGTGATTGAAGGTTGTGCTACCGGGAATAGAGAGTTACGTTTACTCCTTATTAATGCTGGAGAAAATGAGTTCATCCTACCACCTCACTCAATTGTGGCATCTGCTGTGCAAGTAGAAGAACGAAGTGAAGTTCATCTTCAAAACAGAGAGGACCAACTTGAGGTGGATGTTTGTAATGTAATGATTGCCACAACAGAATCGGTTCAAGATGACAACGACAATGTTGGCCAGTTCGAACACAGAGGAGAAACCCAACCAACAAATGATATCACTACACAGGAAACGTTTACCTTCACTGATGGAACAGAAGTATTGCTTCCTCATGGCCTCAGCTTATGTGGGATGGACTATCATGAGGCATCTAGGATTGCTAAACTTCTAGCAGATCATGAAGCAGCTTTTTCCAGAGATGAGTTTGATTTGGGACAGTGTGATCTTATCCCTCATGAGATAAAGGTGACCTCTGACAAGACAATACGCCTGCCATATCGAAGAATTAACCCCAACGAGACATCAGAAGTTCGTGAACTTCTGCAAGACATGCTTGAACGAAAGATCATCAGGGGGTCTGCTAGCCCATATGCAAGCCCAGTCGTTTTAGTTAGAAAACGATCAGGAGCCCTACGCCTATGTATCGACTACCGACAATTGAACAAGATTACAGTGAAAGACTCTTTCCCGTTACCCAGAATTGATGAATCCCTGGAAGTCATGGATGGGGCTAGATACTTCTCTTCTCTGGATCTGTCTCATGGGTACTTTCAAATCACCATGCATCCTGACTCTGTGCCCTTGACCGCTTTTCGTGTTCCATGGGGACTCTTCGAATTTGAGAGAATGCCGCAAGGTCTTTGCAACAGTCCAAGCACCTTCCAGAGGGTGATGGAGGTGATCTTCAGTGATATGAACTTCACAAAACTAATTCTGTACCTCGATGATGTGTTGGTATTTTCTAGAACTTTTGAGGAACATTTGGAAAGACTTGGAGAAGTTTTTGCCCGGTTGACGAAGCATGGTCTAAAGTTGAAAGGAGAGAAATGTCACTTGTTCAGGGGAGAAGTTGCCCACTTAGGACACATCGTCAGCAAGAAGGGCGTGATGGTCGATCCAAGCAAGGTGGAGAGAATCAAGAGTTGGCCAACACCCCAGAATGGATCAGAGTTGAGGTCTTTCCTTGGCCTTGCGTCGTACTATCGGAGGTTTGTCCCTGACTTCACAAGACTGACAGCTCCTCTTCATGCACTAATCGGACAGAAGTCGCAAAAGAAGAGAAAGAGGAAGCCTGAGAAGACTATGCTGGATCCAAAGTTTGTGTGGACAGACAAAGCAGAAGAATCCTTTCAAAAACTGAAAGAAAGACTGTCCTCAACTCCAGTGCTAACCTATCCGAAGTTTGGAAAAGAGTTTGTTCTCGAGGTCGATGCTTCTCTCAAAGGACTAGGTGCCTGTCTATCACAGGCAGATGAAAACGGTCACCTTCACCCGATCTCATTCGCAAGCCGCAGTCTGCGTGGAGCTGAAAATAACTACCCGGACTTCTCCAGCTTCAAGATTGAACTGTTAGCACTGAAATGGGCGGTGGTAGAGAAGTTCAAAGGATATCTGATAGGTTCAAAGTGTACCGTCTACACAGACAACAACCCGTTGGCCCATCTTCAAACCGCCCAACTGGGGGCAACTGAACAACGATGGGTAGCCCAGCTAGCACCCTTTCAGCTAGACATCAGATTTCGCCCTGGCAAGCTCAATAAATGTGCTGATGCTCTCAGCCGCTGTCCTGGCAATGATGAACAAGAGGTGAGAGAGATGATCGGTGCTCTGACAGTAACTACTGTCTTACCAGTGGAAGTTACAGTAAACAGTGATCAGGGGCCAGAAGAAGCACCTCGGCCAGCTCCTGAAGTATACCCATCATAATATTCCACAGAGAAACTTGAGATTCTGCAGCAGCAAGATGATGCACTGTCAGCTTGCAGACAATACATAAGAGATGGATGGAAGCCAGAGGATGAAATGAAAAGCGAGAACAGAGAGACAAAGTCCTGGATGAAAGAACGCATGTACCTCAAAGACTGTGGAGGGGTATTGTACAGACGACCACCAGATTCCAAACATCCACAGAGAAGGCAGTTGTTAGTTCCCAAAGGCCTCCAAGAGAAGATGCTACAGATGGCTCATGACCAATGGGGCCATCAAGGGATAAACAGAACCATAGCAATCCTGCGAGAAAGATGTTTCTGGCCAGGAATGTGTAATATGATGTGAGAGCACACATCAAGAAGTGCTTTGCCTGCATTGCAGCTAAGACGCCAACACCGACAATACGAACTCCAAGACGACACTTGCTGGCATTCAAGCCCCTAGAACTGATCGCAATCGATTTTCTGAAATTGGATAAGGGTCAAGGTGGATACGAGGATGTCTTGGTAATCACTGATGCATTCACCAAGTTTGCACGAGCAATCCCCTGCAAGAACCAGACTGCAGCAGTTGTTGCACGTGCCTTAATCGATGGTTGGATAGTCCACTACGGTGCTCCACTTCGTATCCACTCCGATCAAGGACGAAATTTCGAGAGCTCTCTTGTCCGAGAATTATGCAAACTGTACGGAATTGAGAAGACACACACCACACCGTACTATCCACAAGGCAATGGACAAACGGAAAGGTTCAACCGAACGTTATGCAGCATGATTCGTTCCCTTGAGCCAGATCGTCGGAGAAAGTGGCCTGGGCTGATCCACCAGCTGGTTTTCCTATACAACTGCACCCCTCATGGAACAACAGGGCTATCGCCATACCGTCTCCTGTATGGGAGAGAGCCGCACACACCAATCGACCAGCTAATTGGGAATAGCGAAGCAGACTGGAATGAGGACTTTCTTACAGAGCATTCGAAGTCGCTACAACATGCTCATACGGTTGCTAAGCAAAACATGGAAGCGATCTTGAGAAGTGAAAAGATCAGACATGATGCTCTACCAATGAGTTCCACACTAAGCATTGGCACCCGGGTACTGATCAAGAAGTGCGCGTTTGAGGGTCGACACAAGCTTGACGACAAAGTGTTGAGAGATCCCTTCATAATCACGGCGGTAAATGACACGGGTGACGTTTACAAAATTCGACCAATGTTAGGAGGACCAACCAAAGTAGTGAACAGAAGGTTGCTGATTCCAGACCCACGTGAAGAGATGCCAGTTCATATTGTTCAGGAAAGCAGAAGTGACCATACCACGTCACAACACCCCTCGACTCGTTCTATAGAAGAGAACACCCCCTCTTTCACTTTCTTGTGGGATCGACCGATGAATATTCCAGGGGATCAGAACAACCTGCGAGTAGACATTCGTGACGATGAATATATTCCAGATGAGGGAAATGACCACGACGGAGCAAATGTTGAGAATGAAGAAAATGGTACGGATGACGTTCTCAATCTGAGCGGAGATATAGTACCTGATGAGATAGACAACTCTCAACTTGAGAACCCCAGTCCCGAGGTACCGCGTAGGAGGTCTAATCGAGTAACTAAAGGCCAGCATAGAAATCCACTGCGGCTTCCAATATCGGCGTTACAAGAGTAAAAAAAAAAAAAAAAAGAAGAGAGTTTTGAATTTGAAGACAAGAATTAAATATTTACTTGTCAGATTAAGATGTGATGTGTTATTAATGCTATGCATAATGTTTTAAAGAACATTGTTTTGTATTTTCATATACTACTGAAAAACATTTTGGTCAAACATTATGACATTAATTGCGGGGAAGTGTATTATAGAAAGATTTTCATTGCTTATATTTTCATGTATCGCTAAAATCTCGGTCAAACAGTATGACATTAATTGCGGGGAAAGGTGACGATTTGGAATTTCGCTCGTAATAATGTATCATTTTTATCAAACATTATGACATTAATTGCGGGGAATATGTTGTAATATGGAATGTTGAGGTAATTATGCCATAATGTATTATAGTGTATTGGTGCATTAGTGTATAAGGAATTGTAGGTGGAGCAGTCTACAATGTAAGCTACCCCCCCTTCCTCATCAGACAATAGCCTTACTTTCCCGCCTTTTTGGGGGTACCTGTATTGCCCAATGTACTGATACCCTATAGGCATGATTGGGGATCCTATTGTAAGTTTTAGTGGATGAGTGATTTTCTTTTGTTCGGGGTCTGTGCACCCAGAGCTGCTATAGCAGGGACAGAGAGACATTGTAGATTTGAGAGAGAGGAGAGAAGCACTAATTTGTGCCTGCTAATGGAGATTGTTATTTACTTCTGGCAGATCACAATTCATGTAAGTTGATTTATACTGTTGGAACTGATGATTATTATATATATTTCATATTATTAATGGATGTCACATTTTATGAATTGCTGAAGATAAGATAGTGAAAGTTGAGGATTGTTGAACCATGTTGTATGTACACTGATATAATGACACTTTATGATAAATGTGATTAACTTATTTCATTTGCATTACATGTATCATGCTTTATAAAGTAGATTATTATGCTTGAATTTCTGATAATGATGAAATGATAATTACTCTGACAAATTAAATTAATTTTAAGTTTGTCTTTATATAGATTGAAACATGTTTCTGTTAAACAAAGTCAATTAAAAGAATGACTACCAAAGAGGATTTATATATATATATATATTTGAATGTAATTACATTGTGTCATGCAGTTTTCACAAAGTCATTATTGTGAAGTAAGAATTGTTATTTTATTGTTGTTACCTTTAGGGCTGCATGTGGTGAAATCTCCTTATTTGATGAACTACACTTTCTACAATAAGGTGGAAGCTTTGTTTATGATCAGGGGTCGGACGACAGCATATAGCGTTAGTGTTGCTTCGTCGTTATAGTATTGGCCGGTGAGTGGAGTTTGGCTCTATTGTGTATAGATATATATATGACCTAATATACATGCAATTGTAAACCGATTATTGCACGAAATGATGTAAAATGTACAATATTCTTCTGTCCTATATATGTTCTAATTAATTATGGCAACTATACTGCTACAGACAATTAAAACAGTTAAGCTACCTTTCATGATATTGCACATAATAAGAATTATTATTGAAAATTGAATAATGTATTAATTGATGACTCGTGTTGAGTTGGAAACTATTGCAATGTTTACACTTTAATTTGTTCTGTTTAATGGAAGAAAGCAAATGAAACCATGAATTGTTTGTTATTACATTTTGCTCCAGAGGCTATATGCTAATTATATTTCGTTCAAATTTTGTTCTTGTACAGGGGCTGTGTTTTCTTTGGTGAATAAATGCAAGACTAAAGTTTACGTTGGACTCCCTAGCTGTTGTCATTTCTGAATCTCAACATCAATAAAATACTGACGGGACCCTAGGCCATGCCAGAACAGTATATTTATATTATTGAATTGAAAGAAATAAAATATCAATTCCAAAACAACCTTTTTTTAATGATTCGAGGTAAAGTAATTTTAGTTTGATATATGTCGATGTGACTTTGAAAAAAAGAAAAGTATAAAATGGTCCGCCGTCAGTTTATTATTCAAGATATGTTTTGTAAAAACAGAATTTTAATTTTAAGATACATAGGGTCGTGGTTTATATAGGATGATTTATCAGTCGCACATTGCACTAATCCAAACACGTTATCTACTCCCCCCCCCCCCCCCCCCAATACAATAAAGATATTTTCCTTGGTTCACATATACCCCTCTCCATGGGCGTAAATCCTTACGTAATACCTATTGTTCAGGGGGGGGGGGGATGAATAGATCATCCCCCTGAACGATAGGTATTACGTAAGGATTTACGCCCATGCCCCTCTCCTCTATCTTTCCCACAATCTTAATCTCCGCTATTCTTAGCTTTTTTTTATGTATAATCCTAGCCCCCCCCCCCCCAATACTCTCTCTGACTCCATCCAAACTCCCTCTCTCCCGCCCATATCTTCTGTCTCTCTCTCTCCTCCCTACTCATTATGTGCGTCTCTCTCTCTCCCTCGCCCTCCCAGAGGCGGATCTAGCTTTTTGCTAAGGGGGGGGGGGGGGGGGGGGGGGGAGGAGGGTGGGGGGTTAACCCAAATACGATGTGGAGCATCGTCCACGAGCCGCATAGCAATTTTGAAGCCCCGTAAGTGATGTTTTCCTGGCATCTAATACTGTTGGGTCTAGACACATGATGGTATTTTTATATGCACATCACATTTTCACTTGGCAGTCCAAGGGGGAGGCATTAAACCCTCCCCCCCCCCCGGCTCCCTCACGCTTCCGACTCTTGTGTGCCTCTCTCTCTCTCTCTCTCTCTCCCTCCCTCCCTCCCTCCCTCTCCTTCACCCTTCCTTCTTTACTCATGGTCACAAGTCATGTTCTACAATGTCGATCGCTTTTTTTCATTTCTGGGAACGTATAATAATTGAGCCTTTGTTCCAATGACAAAACAAGCAATCATATTAACTTGATGTTCATCAAATTTAATAAAAGTCGTCTTCCCAAACCACTGGTGAAGATTCAATACTCTTCAATATGAAAAACAGCACATAACAAACATCATATTAATCTGTCCATAAGTTAAACATTTCAATAACCTACCCAAATGTGTGGCCGTGGTCTACTATCACATTAATTTCTATTAGTCTTTTAAGTTTTAAACCGATTTTCGGGACGGAAAGCAGTTGAAATAAAATACAAATCTTTAAATGCGAATAAATCGAAAAGTAGTTTTCGAGTCGATTTCTTGCGCGCTATTTCTTCTGCCAGCTGTGCGACGAGTTAAACGTTTTATTTGTCATAACTCTCTCACATACTATGGATATCTGTTGTTTTACCTTTGAACGTGAATGTCAAAACTATCTCCCTCAAGCGCTATGGATATCTGTTGTTTTACCTTTGAACGTAAATGTCAAAACTATCTCCCTCAAGCGCTATGGATATCTGTTGTTTTACCTTTGAACGTGAATGTCAAAACTATCTCCCTCAAGCGCTATGGATATCTGTTGTTTTACCTTTGAACGTAAATGTCAAAACTATCTCCCTCAAACACTATGGGTATCTGTTTATTGACCTTTGAACGTGAATGTCAATGGGGTAAGAGGACACTTTTTTTGGGGGGGGGGGGGGGGGGGTCTCGAAATTTGAAAATTTGACATTTTGCTCTGTTGGGGGGGGGGGGGGTAAGGTCAGGTTATTTAGGTCAGCCATGGGAATTTTTTTTTTTTTTTTTTTTTTTTTTAATAAAAAGAAATCCAAAAGGGGGGGGGGGGGGTTTACTTACAAAAAAAATACCAAAGGGGGGGGGGGTTTAACCCCCCAAACACCCCCCCCTTTGTGTACGCGCCTGCTTCATATACCATTGAACAGAAATCATGAAAAACTGATAATTTCCATTATAATTATATCTACATATCTGAAAAACAGACAAACTGCTACAAGAGAAAACCAAACGTAATACTGCTACAAGAGAAAAAAAAAAGAGATAATCAAAGCGTAAAATGTCTACAAGCAAAAACCAAGCGTAAAATTGCCAGAATAGAAAACCAAACTTAAAACTGCTACAAGAAAAAAAACCAGCGTAAAACTGCTACAAAAGAAAACCCAGCGTAAAACTGCTACAAGAGAACACCAAACGTAAAAATGCTACAAGAGAAAAAACAAGAGTTTAAGGGTTACAAGAGATGATCAAAGCGTAAAATGTCTACAAGCAAAAACCAAGCGTTTAAATTGCCAAAAGAGAAAAAAAAAGTATAACGGCTACAAGAGAAAACCAAGTGTAAGACTGCTACAAGGGAAGCCTTCCTATTTGATGAACATTGAGCACCATTTTCCTTCATTGATTCTGTATTTCATTTACATTTCTTTTTGTGTTTACTTAATGTTGATGACTCACCATATGCCTTACCACATTGATCACATATAAATGGCTTCTCACCCGTATGCATGCGCATATGTTTCTTGAGATCACTAGCTTGATAACATGCCTTACCACATTGATCACATACATGTACATAGGGCCTCTCACCTGTATGGATACGTTTATGTTTCTTGAGATCACCAGCTTGAGTAAATGCCTTACCACATTGATCACATATAAATGGCTTCTCACCTGTATGGATACGTTTATGTGTTATGAGATTACTTTTATAACCAAAAACCTTACTGCATTGATCACATGCATAAGGTTTCTCACCTGTATGGATTCGTTTATGTTTTGTGAGATTATTCGTTTGATCAAATGCCTTGCCACATTGATCACATATAAATGGCTTCTCACCTGTATGGATACGTTTATGTGTTGTCAGAACATGAACTTGACTAAATGCCTTACCACACTGATCACATGCATAGGGCTTCTCACCTGTATGGATGCGTACATGTCTTGTGAGACCATGTTCTTGATTAAATGCCTTACCACATTGATCACATACAAAGGGCTTCTCACCTGTATGGTTGCGTACATGTCTTGTAAGATTACCTGCATTGTTAAATGCCTTACCACATTGATCACATGCATAGGGCTTCTCACCTGTATGGATGCGTACATGTCTTGTGAGATCACTAGCTTGATTAAATGCCTTACCACATTGATCACATACATAGGGGTTCTCACCTGTATGGATGCATTTACCTGTTCTGAGATCACCAGCTTCAAGTTGATTTAATGCCTTAATACCACATTGATCGCGCTTATAGGGTTTCTCACCAGTATGGATACGTTTATGTTTTGTGAGATCACCAGCTTGATCAAATGCCTTGCCACAGTGATTACATACATATTTTTTTTAGTACTTCTGATTTCTCCTTTGATGAACTGTAGAATGTCTTTCTTTGGTGCACCTGCTGGCGGGACGATACCATAGTGTCCATGTTTGTACTTGAGATGCTTCGCTAAAACAAGAGGAATGGCATAGAGTGATCCACAGTACTCACATCTATAGACTCCAGAATCTATTGAGAATGACAAACAGGTTCACATTGTTATAATCATTTTAATGAATTCATCTCCATCAGATTCAAAGTTATGCAGACAATATTCATTACATGTGATCTGATGGAATACACAGTAATTTGTTTTGAATGAGGTTGAAAATAACAACAAGAACTCTTTTATTTAGAATATTTTACATCACATTGACTGTGCATAAATATTGTCAACTTCTCACAATATCATTAAATATTATGTTTACTGATTTCATGAAACGTCACAAAAGGCAAAATATTATTCAAATTTAACAAAAACAAAAAGGGATTGTTATTTGATTGATGTTACATGCAGGGGCGTCGCTAGAGGGGGTGTCGGGGTTGGAACACCCCCCCCCCCCCCCCCCCCCCCCCCCATCAGGCATTTGTTGGTAAAATTGTGCTGCCGTCTGGTAAAATGAGAAAAGGGGGAGGGGAAAAAATGAGAGAGAAAGAACAAGAAAAGAAAAGAAAAAAAGGAAAGGGAAAGAAAGGAAAAGATAGGAAAAAAAAGGAAAAAGAGAAGAGGAAAAAGAAAGAGAAAAAAGAGGCCAAAAAAAAAAGGAAAAGAAAGAGAAGAATTAAAAGACAGAAAAGAAAGAAAAGAAAGAAACAAAAGAAAAGGAGAAAAGGAAAAAAAAGGAAAGAAAGAGAAAATGAGACAAAAAGAAATGGGGGGATGAAAGAGAGGAAAGAGGGGGGGGGGGGGGGGGTAAGAGAGAGAGAGGGGGGGGGTTAAGAGAGAGAGGGGGTTGTTGGGTGGAGTAATCTCGTCAAGGGAGCAAGAAAGATACGCATAGATATGTTGCTGTGTCGGGTCAGCTGTGTCACTATTCTCGCTCGATCCTCATGTACTATATCCAATGAATGCAGAAGTTTAAACTTAGCAAGATGTATAATGTCGGTAGGCCTGTGATGGCCTCTACAGCCCCCCCCCCCCCCCACTGAAAAATTTCTAGCGACGCCCCTGGTTACATGGTTCATTAGAATACAAATTTATTACAGAGCTGTATGCTAACCATCAGGAACATGTTCTTTGTTGTAAGACTTGCGGCTCACTGCTCTCTTCGGGTATCTAGACTGTCTAGTGGCTGGTTGGGGTTTCTCCTTTCTCCTGTCTGAAATAAAAATATGCACAAATTGATTTAGTTTATTCCCAACTTATCCTTATCAAAATGATTGAGATTTTCATCTTATAGTTTAATTGTTGTTGTTAACAGCCAACCCTGGAATGAATATGTCTGTCCTATAACTTCACATATTAATTTGTCTTATAACTAAGATTACAGTCGCTAACTTAACACATGCACGTGCACACACCGACCGTCGGGACAGTATTGTGCTTCAGTTTGCCGTGAATCCCAAGAGAAAGTGCATATTATAAGTCTTTGTTTTTAGGAAAATACTCTGAAAAAGATAAGAAAATTGACACGAAACAGGTAAAAACATATCGACTTTTAAATCATGATCTTGATGAATATTAATTTCATTTTGGGTATGTTGGAGTAGGGTATCTCCATGCCGGAGTTTCGGGTCAAATTTTGGATAGACTTCTGAAGTGAACTTAAGGAGGCGAGTTGGCTCAGTCGGTTAAGCGTCCGTCTGTCGAACCAAAGATCCCGGGTTCGACTCCCACCCAGGCGGATGACTGAAGCCTGCGTTATGTGTTAACGTGCCCCTTCCCTTGTTCATAGACGCAGGTTATGTCAAGTGGAAAACACTCCGTCCCTCCCTCGGATAGGACGTTAAATGGAGGCCCTGTGTAGAAGATTCACTACCTTTGCACATTAAGAACCCACTGCACTATTCGTATAAGAGTAGGGGGAAACCCTGGTGTAGTGGTCCACCTGCACACACCCCCAGTATAGTACGATAATACTCTGTAAAGAGGTCTGTACTCAAAAAGGAGTATCTTTTGAAACATCGGTGAGCCTTGAAATTTGAAATGTGCTCTTCTGAGTAGGTCTAGTTGATTTTTTTAAATTATCCAACCATAATGGTGAAAGACAATCCAAAAGGGAAAATCGAAAAATCATTCAGCGCTAGAGGTCAATACGCATTAGCATAATAATAGCATCGACAGTGCGTTAATCTTCATTTCATGAAGCCTGCACTTTTCAGGAAGAAGAAGTCCCTATGCTTTACTGGAGTGGTTTAATATATAAGCAATTATCAATAGTAATAGTAATACATGTACAACAACCAGTACAAGCCAACTCACACATCTTCCAACCTTAACATAAAACAGGAGATTTGCTCCAGACCAAAGATAAAGTTGGAGATTCATTCTACACTAGCTAGTACTAGACTAACAATCGTAAGATAAGCTTTGAAAAACCTTGAAACAGTTCAATTTCATGGTCATGCATTGCATGACGTTCATAACTAGACAGGCCTGAGAGCTCGAGAGTGTGTGGCTTTGCACTGGGAAAAAGTCTAAAAAGCCTGATTTTGACATTTAAATTCTGTGCGAAATCGGATCAAATAACAGGCGCTCATCATTTCGTCAGCGGCAAGTCTTGAATCGGTTGCACACAGTGACAGTCACACATCCTGGCTGTGTACTAAAAGCTGTGCTATTGTCGATTCTCAACATTTCACACACCATTGATATTGTACAAGACTCAACTGATTTCACTCGAAATCAGTTGAGTGACAATTGATGACACCTAAATAGCAGTAAAATACAATATTTCAACTTTACCGAAGTTAGAAAGAATAATTAAAAAATTCAAATTGTGAGTCTAGATCTACTGTCAAACTTCCCGATCAGCCGCATCGGCATTATTGTGTGCATTTCTGTGTTGTGAGTGTTTTGACTATTCATGTATTCAAATACTGACACGGTATATGTAGTACAGTGCTAAAGGTCAATACGCCATTTTTTTAAAATAATATAATTAATTCTTAGGTAGTCACAAATATCTATTCATCATGTTTTATACGGCTGAGAGGGGACCCTACAGTCCTAATAAATAGCGATACTGGTGAATTAGATAAGATAAGATAAGATAAGATTTTATTCGTCTTTCTTTCAAATGACATACAGAGCATAACATTGGATCATAACACATTTACAGTGCAAAAAAAACAAATTATTGCAATGATAAAAACAAAGGAGTTCGGAGGCACATGTGCTGACTCAGTAGTAGGGCCTCTCACCTGTATGGATACGTTTATGTTTCTTGAGATCACCAGCTTGAGTAAATGCCTTACCACATCATTTGTTTGTGATTCAGTTCAGGTTTCATAATTATATTCTTTTTGGTTAACAAATATAAACATTTTTAGTCCTTATTGCTTTTTTTCGGGGGGGGGGGGGGGGGGGGGGGGGGGGTACTCGTTTTGTCCCCCCCCCCCTTTCATTTACGGTAGGGGCCAGATGTCCCTTGTAGCTTCTGCCCCCCGCTTCTGGCGCCTATGTAAAATGATATAGACTTATATATATAAATGCGTTATTTCAGCAAGGAAGATTTGAAAGTCGCTATTATTGCACTAGCTAATTCATATTTTATTAATAAAGTTATTTCCTTGGTTCACTCTCTCGCTTTTTCCCCACAATCTTGATCTCCGATATTCTAAGCTGTTTGAATTCATAATCCTCGCGCCTCCGACCCCCCCCCCCCATACTCTCTCTCTCGCCGACTCCATCCAAACTCCCTCTCTCCCGTCCGATCTCTTACAAATTATATCCCCCAATCACACTCCCTCCCTTTCTCTCTTCCTAGCTCCCCCTCCTTCACTCTTCCTTCTCGTAATTTATGTGCATATATCTCTCTCTACTCTCGGTCACTATTATATAGTCTCCGGGAACGTACTATCATAACCATTCAAGCCTATGTTCTAATATGGCAATACAAGCAATACATCCAATTTAATAAAAGTCATCTACAAAAACAAGTCGTGAAAATCCAATAAAATCTTCAATATGACAAAACAGCACATAACAAACATCATATCTATACATTTCCATGAACAACAACCAACATTCGAACAACAATTCAAGTATGAAACATATCATATCATTGTTTGCGAAAGTGCAAAAATCGACTTGCGCCAAAGTGATGCCTACGTACAGTATGTATTATGTTGGGATTAGCGGCGTGAGAGAATGAATTGAATGTATCAAATGAAATGCTGTGCATATGCTTTTTGTAGGAGCAAATCACACACACACGCGCACGAATGGTTCGTTGATATTTGATATTCGATATTTGATATGTGTGGCATGATAAATTTTGTTAGGAATGTTATTTGGATCTGCAAAGACCAAATTAATACTCAAATCCCAATTGTTTTATCCAAACATCACATAAGCAACTTTGGCGCAAGTCGATTTTTGCACTCCTGTTCATCCACGTGGATACATAGTTTACATACCATACAAAAAAGATACCAAATGACTTGGGATCAAACCCTCTTTCATAAGATGTATAATAAATCACTGTTCATAGACGATTTTAAAAATAATTAGCAACTTTCTAGGTGTAAACTTTTTTTTACTCACACTGTATAATAGGCCCTATCGTTAAAGAACAGTTGACCACAATGTCAATTTTTTTTTTCTTTCTTACTGTGTTTCGTTTTCTTTCATTACATTTTTCTTGATTAATATTGATTAGACACAATTACCCCTGGGAACCAAATATTTTTACGAATTGCTTCTTTTTGGTTCCCCATACTACATGTTATGTTAATTACAAACGAATTGTTGATTACTTAATATTTTATTGTACTTTAGTCTTCAATTTATTCACTTAATTGTATTTCGTTTTTGAATGTATTGTTTGTTTGTTATTGTATAATCACTTGTTCAAATATATTTGTGAAATATGGAAATAAATTCAAATCAAGTCAAATAAAAACTGTCACATACAAAATTTTCAAATAATAGCAGTAATTAATACACGTACATGTACTACATAATCAGCTTTCTACACAAAGCACTTTTTATGAAGACAAAGTAAGAAATGAAATTCACCTTCCTACGATGCTAACTATTAATATAGCCTGGATCATAACAAAGAAATTAATTAAGATATCAACAAGCTTGTTGGTTTCTTATTAGAATGATCAGAATGTGTTGCTGTTAATGTACAACATTATTAACAACCAACCACTTTCAGACATCCAGTACAATGTTATGCATTGTATTTTATTAGATTGTCCATACACATATTTGAATTAGCATTTCAGATTGGAATTTCCTGAGTGCATAGTATAAAAGGTAAAGACCAGTTTTGGAAACGCCCCCTCTCAAAAAAGGAAATGGAAGCTCTTAATTACCAATCATGTGTAATTTTGCAGAGAAACCGCCTTCTAGTTGATATATTTGGTAAATTATTATATCTATTTGGACCTGATAGATATCTTGCACGTGTTGCGTAGTCCCATATACATCTTTCTGTGCACAGTGCTCTTAACTTTACCAAGACTGGGCCAAATTTCTTATCATTTTGATGATTCCAGAACCTTGCAGTACACACCAATACTTATAGATGATCAACCTTTTCTGATCGATTCCACAACGTTTCTTTCACAATGCAATCGCATGACCAGAACTGGTCTTTATCTTTAAAGCCCTGTTCATAGAGTAGCATCATAATGAATATGGCATTTTGATACAATACAGACTGAATTGGGCGACATTGTTTGAAACTTTCAACATCTGTAGTGACGTGACAATCAACACAATCACAATTGAAAGAAGGAACTTCTTAGATAAAGGCAGCCATATAGATATACACAAAGGTAGACAATTAACTGGGCTATTCATATCAGTTAAATAAAGTTGTATAAATCTATTCAGTATAAATGGTGCAATAAATGTCATTTTTCATATCATTTAGACTTTAGTCAGGTCATATTTCTTTGTACATTACATAACCAAAATTGTTTTTAAATGTTTTGCAAATTACAGCTTCAAAAATCATTATTTACACTTTATTTTGTACCATTTTAATCAGTATTTTTTCATCGTTTTTATTCTTCAACAGATGCCTTCCCATTCGATGAACATTTTCTTGATTCATTCTGTATTTCATTTAATTTATCGTTGCATTTTGATTTTGGTTCAAGATTTTTATTGCACTGAGAACACTGTCCTTTAAATTTCTTT